AGCCCTTTAAAATGAGACCCCACGTGGAGACATCGCATCTTTAGATCGGGAGATATTGGGGATCAAATTAATCGAAAATGACTGGAATCAAGTTTCCTGGGCACGGTGGAGGCACGCCGGGAGTGCCGCACCCGTCACGGTACCTTGCATGGCTGACAGCTGATTTATTACCGTCTCGGGGTGGTCGGCGGGAAACCCTTGCCCGGTAACTAAACTGGCGGTTTTGGGGCGATTTAGACAGCCGTGGGTACAGTATTTGTCAGTCCTCTGGCCACCTCAAACAATACACGTCTATTGAGTGTGAGTCCTCACAATACTAAAGCCTCAGGGTCATCAAGGCTGACATCTGGCGACGGCAGATATTTTGCCAACAGTCCGAGGTGGCACGGTTCCTTTGACGTTTCTCCACTTGACTTTACCATTTCATTTCTTTTTAAAGTTTTTTTTATATGTGACGAACGCTTAAAAACATAGGTTTTTTTTCAGAATCAGTGCAAATCGGCGACAAACACTAGAAATAGACAGAACTGGCAGAGGCATGTGTTTGAAAAAGATTATCACGCTGCCAATAGATGGGGGTCATGCCTCGATATGTAATGTGTTCTTTTTGTGGTCAACTCGCTGGCAGCGTAACAGGGCAAATTTGCACATAGTAAAATAAGTACCTTACTCAGTCAGTTGGCGGATTGCGGTGTAAAGGTGCAAGTACTATGTATATATATTTTATAAGCGTTCCTTTTCATACACTGGCAAAAACTGGCGGCAAGCACGGTTGGCAGTATAATGAGGTTTGACTGTACTCAATAAAATAACTTCTCCTCTCAAGAATCAAACTCACATCTTCTGGTTGCAACAGCAAAATCCTAACTGTTGCTCCCTAGGTGCTTGTCAGATCCGAGGCTTCTGTGAACCAATAAAATCATATAATCATCATTTGCCCCTGCCTTGGCAAAATTTCATTGAGTTTTTATTCTCAGCTTCCCTGTGATAAATTGAGTTGTATTGGTTGAAAAGGTGCAGTAGTGCCTCAAGCTTATTTTTGATTTGAAGAATTTCTGAACTATCCTGCCCATATGGGAGGTAGACTCTATTTCTAAGTTTTTGAATACTCTATAAAAATGAAAGTTGTACCAGGCAGGAATTTATATTTATTCAAAGCATTATTATTATACGAGATGTCTTTATTTGTGGGGGCAAAAGGTTACCCGAACTCCCCCTTCCCTTCCCCCTCCCCATACCTCCTCTTTGACTCTTTGTTCCCTCATTAGAGCAGGTTTAACTGTAATGTTGTGCTTCCTTTATTCACAGACTAATCTCTTCCTGTTAAGCCATGGGACGCATATTTCTTCAACACATTGGAGGCTCTCGTCTTTTCACTTGTGGGAGTTGCAATGTTGCCCTGACAAATAGAGCAGAACTGATTTCAACACGTTTTACAGGTAAGTTTGAGGGAACAAATATGAAAGATTTAATCAAATATACCCCCCAGCGACTTAACAAAATTGGTTTATTTCTCCATTTAAAAAAAGTAAACCCATCTTTTACTTCCGCCAACTCTATTCTATTTTTTTAAAGTTTTTCATCTTCGACCAGTCAATACCTTTTGAAGGGCAGGAATTTCTCATTCCTTGTCTGAGTTGAGCAGGTTACTGTCTTAGACAGCGTATTATAGAGAAATTTTCAAGAGGGAAGCGGGGAGATTCTGTTAAAGCAGGTTTCGGTTTAGAACAGGTTCTGTTAATCCCCCAAGCATCCCTAGGAAGTAGTCTGTGGTGTAGGGGAAATTATATGATTTCATCATAATGTTTTGTTGGAAAATACTTGAGAACAGGCAAACTAAGCAAATAAAGGCCATATACCTAAACATTTCCAGATAGAAGAATGTACATAGGAAGTGAAGCTCATTTCTGCAGAGGTTAAAATGTATGGTGAGAGAAAACAACACGATAAATGAGCTGAAATAGCAGTTTAAATTATGGCCTTTTAAATCAGCTGCTGTGACACCCCAGAACAAAACTTACTGCTGATGTAATCAGACGTAGACTCCTGGAGAGTTAACCATTTCAACTTAATATATGTATATCTCTTGTTTACTACTGGGTGTTCTGTCTCTGCCCTGTTTATTTCCATCCTCCTCCTTTTACCTTTCATCTTTACACAAAGCACTCCTGTCTTCTATATGACCTGTACACTTATCACATTTTTTTTTTCAAAGATAAGATTTCTGGGTTTTTCATCCAATAAGAATATCATTTTACCTGTCCCCGTGGTTTTATGCACCCCGCATAATTTAGCAAAATTTGATCATTTTTTGCATAATTTCTGATTATTTCCCTTTATCCTTCTTTGTTAAAATTAACAGAATCTCATAATTTCCCATATTTGGGCTCAGTTTGCATAATTTCAGAATTTTTCGTGCATAAAACGATGGGGACAGTTTTACCTAATGTTTTCTTTTTTTATATTCTACAGGAGCCACCGGTCGAGCTTTTCTCTTCAACCGTGTGGTGAACCTTCAGTACAGTGAAGTGCAGGATCGGGTGATGCTGACAGGGAGGCACATGGTACGAGACGTGTCATGCAAAAACTGCAACGCTAAGCTGGGCTGGATCTATGAGTTTGCCACAGAGGACAACCAAAGGTACAAAGAAGGCCGTGTCATCCTGGAGCGGGCTCTTGTCCATGAAGTTGATGGAATGGACGAGCAAGTTGTAAATGACAGCTGATCTCACCTTGTACATCTTTCCATACTACTGGCCATCTTTCAGTCATTTAATTTATTTCTTTGCCATTATAGCATCATGACTTAACTATGTAGGAGAGAATATTTTTTAAACTTCACGAAGACATTTGTAACATTGCCTTTAATTTGGTATGCACATTTCTTGACCAAAGTTTTTTTATCGAGTCATCTTGAAGGGATAATTTTGTGCGGAAATAAAAGTCCCTCTTGTCTTGTAGTTCACATCCGAGACATTATTTTTCACTAATCATTGGACTTACTGATAAGGTGTGTAATTTTACTCAGGGATATTAATGTTAATTGATTTGTCGTGTAATTGCTAATTCTCACCAGAATACAGTGTGCACTGTCGGCCAACTGAAGCCCGCAATGAAACCATGTAAAAAGAGATAGGTCTCTTATTGGAATCAGAATGTTTCTGCAAGCCTAAAAATTGCATTGACTAAAATTGAAAATAAGACATGAAGTAGTCATGGTGACACTCATAACATAATATATACATCCGAAAAGTTCACATTACTTGGAAACATAAATATGAACAGTATTTTCCTTCTTCTCTTTTGAATAATGTGTAAGGATTTAAAATATTAGAGTATGAGTTTCCCTTGTGATAGAGGCCAAAGAAAACTTTCTTTTATGATCTTATTTCCTAATTTGAAGGGTGTTGCTATATTCGTATTAGAACTTTCTGGATTGTCTTACAGCACGCCCCATGCCCCAGAGAAATAATTCTACTGATTTCACATTATTTTGCTTTTATTATGCAGGGTGGAAGTGCCTATGATGTATCACTTTTTAGTTTGAAATTTAATTGCACTATTTCCCCTTGATGCTCCCTAGGGGTGTCAAGTGAGGCGAGTGCAGTTTCATTGATTTAATTGTTTTACTTCTCCCATTCGTAATGGGTGAGCCTGGTAACTTGCAAAAATCAGCAACGAGTCTTCATGGCAGCAGAGTTGATAAAAAGAACTCTTTTTTTTCTATTGACTTCTCACCAGTTTTTAATCTTCAGTGTCCAATTGTATTAAGTCATATTTCACATTATCATAGTCCCTCTAGGACCTCAATGATGGAACAATTCTTTATACACGAAAAATATCTTTAAAGTCTATGAAGTGTAGACAGCATGGGCCACTAATCATTATGTTCTCTTTTCATATATGAAATTAGAAAATAGGCTTGGAGTGTGGGAAAATAAGAAGATTACTGTTGAATTGAAATTCTCGTTACTGTGGCGGGGGGGGGGGGGGGGGGGTCTTGGTGTCATTTTGCACAACACAGATCTTATCAAAAATTACTTTCTCCTTTTTTTTAAATGTCATATTTCTCTTTCAATTTTAATGTCTATGTTTTGTTCACTGTGCATTTTCACGAGTTGTGAGTTTGTAGATAAAAATGTTGCTAGTTTCAGACCTGACAATAACCCTGTTTAAGGATTATAATTTTCTTCCCATATTTCCTTAAGAGTAATTCAATTCGTTTCCTTTCCCACATTTTTGTCTTTGTAAGGTTGGGGTTTTTTGGTGCATAATTGCAGATATTTTCAGTCCTCTCTTGCCATTTGGAAACCCCGGAATTAAAAAAAGAAATCAATGCAGTATTTAAAAAAAGAAATGCAGGTCAGCATCTGTTTGAAAACTGTGGAACTGTATGGTTTGGCGGAAACAATTCTACCCATAGATCATGTAAAGAAATTATATTTTTGTGAATGAAGTTTGATGTCTGAATGGGGGTGGCCTTCAAACATTTTTGTGGAAATGAATTGGATGAGCCAGACATTTGATTAGAAGTCTTGGACAATACAATCTATGTTCTCATTTCAGGAAGAAATTTATAAGCAGTTTTGATTTTTATCAGTCATTTCTATCCAGACTTTATAAGCTACTTAGAAAAAATTGATGAAGAGGGTGCAGCATTATGGTACAGTTCTATTTGTTGGGGAGGGGGGGTATTGTCATGATAGTTTTACTGGTGTGTATTAGTGAGCTGACAAGATATAGTTTGATGAGGTTTCTTAGTCTGCGGTATTTCTATGATGACCAACTGAAGATTGTGAATGAAGCAAAGTTTGTTTTATTAACTCTATCCATCTTGTACCCCCGTGGTTGTATTCTTCACATGTTATAATACTTCTAGTACGAAGATCTCTTTGAAACTTTCAGTAGGCTTATTTCTCGAAAAGTCATTTATTAAATTTTTTTTAAATTCCTGCCAACAACTGGTTAGCCTGAATATTTGTTTAAGTATAATGAGAAAAATTAGACACAAGTGTCTTAAAAAAGTAGATGGACAAGTTTTAGATTCCTTGCAAGTCTCTTACATTGATCAGTCATCTTTCTTATCAAGATACAAATGTTAACTCCAATCAGCCAGATTGTTAATCAAATTCCTGCACTCAGTTTTGCTATCCAGTTCCCCAATGTTGCGGATGGTTTATTTTTTGGTAGATATAGATCCAAAATTTGCAAAGAAATAAAAACTTGTGTGAGCTCTCTATTATGACAATGGATATTTAGTCCTGGCTGTTCAGGAAAAGTAATGAAAGCAATTCTGGCTGATGGGAGTATAAGAAATGTTTAGAGTCGACTTAATTAATGCAACAAAGCACAATTCATTTTACTATGAACCACCAGTCCTCTAATCACCCCGTCTGGCTTATTAATGTCCTCAGTACTAGAGGTCTGAGTAGTTTGACTTGATATAACTTACACTTACAGTGTGTGGTCATAGTTCAGCAGAGCTTGTAATACATTACCTGGGTTTTATGTTTGTTATGTAGAGAATAAGGTAAACGGTGTTTACTAAAAATATTTTCCAATGATGCATCTTGTAATATTGTTTTGTGTGAATGGTAATGATATGTCCTCATAGACTTCTTCACTTTTAAGAAAGAAACATTATTTGTGTCACAACGCGGTGGAATCAGGCACTCGTCAATGTTTGGGTATTGGGAGCTATTGGTATCATCTTAAAGGTTGTTCATTTGCCTGGCATTTGATGAAAAAAAATATCCATTTATCTTGAATAGAAGTCGAGCTATTTTCGATTGAAGGAGGTGGGGGTCACGTGGTTTCAGAAGTAAAATTAGAGGGAAAATGGCCGCCAAAAATAGGTAACTTCCATAGCTCAAGAGTCCTTGGAAACTGCAAATTTATGTTTTTTTGTGCCTCTGAAGAACATTTTTCCATAAAATCCACACATAAGAATGTTTTTGAATGCACATACAAGGTGTTCAGCCAAAAACAAAAATTTTTTTTTAAATTCCAAATTTGCTGAAAAATGCCGATTTCTTCAGATTCCATTATTTTGACGAGCGTCTGGTTTCACCGCGATGCCTCACATTTTGCTTCTGTAGATAGGATGAGTGCTTGCTTGTGTACTGGTAGTGGTAGAGGTATCATCTGTTTTGTGTGCTGCTTTTGAATTTCTGCTTAGAAGTAAGTGTGGGATGTGTGTAGGCCTACTTGGTGAGTGGCTTTCTTTCTTTCTTTAATTATTGTAAAAGAGTGAAAAGTCTAGATTGCTCACATGGATGCCTTTAACCCCTTCTTGACACAAGGGCAGTTTATTTTACGCTTCACCAAACACAATTTTGGATCCCCAGAGATGAAGACTGGCACTCGATTTTGGGATCAATTGTATGTAATTGGATCCGGTTTGTAAATACAACAATTTGTGTCTAAAAGCAAAAGATTTCTTAGTGCAGAAAAAGTATTACTGAATTTAGATTTGCAATTAGTTTTAAGCAGTGTTTCTACTTTTAATACAAACAGTATGGTGAGCACAAATTTTGTTGAATGGGGCTCGTCATTGTGGTCCTTGCGCTTCACAAGACATAACAAGCCCAATCATCACAGCAGCATCTTGCTGCTTTCGCCACATTTTAGAAAAAGACAAACGGTGCTTGTCACATAGATCACGAAGGGGTTAAACCCCCTCCCCCTTCCCCAAAACAAGACTAACTTCCGATGTATATAATTTAACTGAATTTTTTGCTGTTAATTATTATTATCTCTTGTTTATATCTTTCTTTGCAATGTTTTTATCATTATTAAATGAAAATTTCCTGAGCAATATGTAGTCTTTAGAAGGAACATGGTTTGCACTGAAGAATGAAAAAAAAAATGGCGGCACTGGCTGTAGTGAGATACTTTTCCTTTCTTAAAATTAAACTTATTTTTTTCTTATCCACTTACTAGAGAATCTGTAGAGACATGATGAGGGCAGATTGGCTTTTTACCACTTACACAGGGCTATTCATCAGTTTGAAGACGGCTTTCTTCTCTATCACCTCTACTACATGGACATACAACATTTAACCTACTGTGTTGAGCAGAAACAGGGCTTATGAATCAAACTATCAGGATCATTATTATATGCTTTTCATTGTGAAACCATCAGGTTTTTTTACATTTCAGAAATTTGTTCTCTTCATGAAATTTGCATGACATGAATTATGATGAATTCCAGCTCATATTCTCAGCCGTAATAAAAAATTAAAACGCTTCATAGCAAACCCACGTTCCTTTTCAAGTACCTGTCACACCTTAATAAAACTAACTTTGTACCATGTATATTTTTAGAGCCTGTTGTTACGATTATTAATACGAATAGTAATACAAGTACTTCAAGTAGCTTTGTTGGGGAGAACTGTTTTAGAGTAGAGAGGCTTTCAAGATTTTGATCGTTGGAATCAGTCCTACACTGAAAACAGTCTGTCCAATCAAACTCGTGTGTAAGGTAACAGAGCTGAGGAGAGACTTGCAACTCGTCGACTAAGATAAAGATATGACTTGTCTATGTGGAACACTGCCCGTGAATACATCATCTGCAAAATCAGAGATAAAGCCTTATAAGAAGATGGTTCACTTTTTTTTTTATTTGACTCATTACCTTGACAATTTATGTACAATGAATGAGCACTGCTGGAAATATTTTCTGGTTCGCTTCTCATAGCAGAGATTTTGGAGCAGTCTTTGATCCTACTTTTTGCAAGCCGGCACTTTGTGCAAACAGTGTATAGCACAAGTCACTGCCAGCATTTCGGGGGGGGGGGGGGGGGGGTTAAATGTCTAAAAAAGAGGTGTGAATAATCATCTTGTAATGCGCAATCTTTGATGTGATGTACTTTTTATTACATTTTTGGAGGCTGTAGAAGAGCAACCTCAGACATTTTATTTTTTTGGTTTCACATGTACTCGTTCCTCAAATGCATTTGATCTGAATTTCCACATACTTGTTCTAAACGTGTTTCAAAAGCTGTTCAAAGGTGAAAATTCTTCAAATCCTGTTTTTTATGGAAACATATGGTTTGAAAATTATCGTAAAGTGGGTGCATGATACGTCTTAAACATGTCCAAAGTTATGGCATTTCTAATAACTTTCAAAAAGCTTACCAGTGATCAAATCCGTAGTACCTTTTTGACACAAAATGTCGTCTCCAAACAATCTGTGAATCCCAGGAACGGAAATAAGCAGGACAAGGGGAGGTAAAAACAGAATAATAGACAAAGGGAAAAACCTGCATGGCACTTCAATCTTCAAGTAAAGGTGAAACCATTGCCTTGCAGCTCCAGTATATTATATTGTCGGTGTCTCAAGCAATCCACTGAAGTCTGTTTCGGTACTTTTTACAACAGAGACAAAAAAATAGTTTTTGTTGTGTCGTTCCTATCAGGAGTCATGACAAGCAAGAAAATTATAATCTTCAACAATAGCATTAAACTACATTTTGATGATGTTTAAAGGTGTCTGAGTCTAATAGAGCTTTGGAAGGGCGTAAAACTCGAAAATTCTCAAAATTTTGACTTAAGTGGACTGCTTATGACAGGGACTATAATGGTTTGGGACTTAAATCACCAGAGAGATTTGTAAATATTTATATTTGCACAAAATTGTGACATCCGTTTTTCTCCTTTCTTGACGTAAATTATTCCAGGAATTTCCTGCTACATGTACGATCCAAAAAAGTGATTTCAACACAAAGAAGTAGATCTAGACTTTTTAAAACTATTCAGTGTTTGTTTTCTCTTCTTTTTTACGGAGTGTATGAGTATGACATGACAACGCATGAATATTCTGATGACCTACTCGATGTGTGGACAGCAGAACATGTATCCCATTCAACAACATTCACCTTTCACCTTAACACTTTGCCGCTTCATCTCGCCGATTGGCGATGTTTACCACCCAATTAATTGTCAGCTTAATTTTTGTACAAAATGTCATACAATGGTGCAATTCAATAAAAGATGTGTATATATATATAATATCTATTTTGTTTTTGTTTTTCTTTTCCTTTCCGATAATCTCCTCAATTTTATTTCGGTTCACGTTCATGCCATTGAAAATGCAATTTTTCATTTTAGAATATAAGCATTCCCTCTAGACTACTACATGTACACATATTTTGTTCTGAATTTTAAAAACTTTTGTACAACATAGTTGGTGGGTGGTTGGGGGGTGCTCTGGTGTTCTAACATTCATTATCCTTATCTCTCGTCCTTTTTTTTTCTCTTGTAGTAACACCCCTAATCTTCAATACATCTTTCGTGCTGCAAGTGCCATAAAACTTTCCCTAAAACAAAACATAGCTGACCATT